GCCTGTACTGGGATGTCAGAAAGCACGCAAATCAGACCCTGGTCCATCTTCCTCATCCGCCTGTTCCTGACTTTGGCTGCCGTTGGGAAGAGATGCCAAATGTTTGGTTGGTGCTTCAGGTACAGAGGAGAGCGTGTCCTGAACCTCACTTTGCGTTGTTTGTTATAAGTAAAGGACCAGCCCTAGGAAAATGTAGGTATTTGTAGGTCTTTGCTGTTACCTCTCCTTTTCTTTTCGGGGCTCATCCTCACTTCCTAAGCACTCACTTCCCTGTATATCTGGCCTGTCTCCAGCTATTTCCTGCGTTTGTACACAGATGGACACTTCATTCAGGCTCACCCTAAACTCAAGGCATCTGCCATGCTTGTATCTCATGAAAGCAGGTTTGTCCTGTTTGCTGTCTGCCAGAGCACGTGCTAGGGAAAATGCCTCAACTGAAAGCATAATTGTATTTGTAGAAATTTCAGAGACCATGCGCAGCCAACTGGGGACACACCTACAGCTCAGCAGGCCTTTCAGTCACCCCTCAGATTGTCGCTGCCTGTTTTCCTCCTGAGCCAGCCGTACTGCTCCCCAAGGCCTGCGACCAGGGTGGCCCCCTTCCCTCTCAGGCCCTACAGACCCTGGGGCTGTGAAAGTTTGGTCAAAGTCCTTTTTTTTTTTCGTTTAGTAACTGTTATACAAAATACATGGTTCAGTCCTTTAAAAGTCTTTCCCTTGTGATGGTGTTTATGCTGTGAAAGTTGGTCAAAGTCCTTTTTTTTTTTCGTTTAGTAACTGTTATACAAAATACATGGTTCAGTCCTTTAAAAGTCTTTCCCTTGTGATGGTGTTTATGATAGCAAAATTGTACCTGCATTTGGAAATCTCTTCTTCAGAATTTATGTTAAAAGTAGGAAATTTTGTTTGGCTGGAGTTTTTTCCTCCCCTTTAAAAAAGTGATGAGGCCTGGAAATTACTAGTTGTTCTCTTTGATCTTGTTCAGTCTGTAAAGTGGGTGCAGTAGAGTCCTACATCCTGGTTTCAATTCTCAAATTTGACATTTGGAAGCTGAATAGCAAGAACTCTAGGAAGAGAGAGCAGTTTGAGAGAATATTCTGGAAAGTCATAATTTGTACTGATGCTGACCAAATCATTTTGGAAATCCGTGTCTCTCCTCCTCTGTACAACAGGGTTAATTATTTTCTTTGCCAAGCACATTGAATGTGCCTGTTAAAAACTGTTGGGTAAGTGCAAGTGTTGCTTCTTATTAATGAGACCTCTCAGTTCCTTTTCTTTCATAAGAAAAAGGGGGAGAGAGTGTTGAACAATTCAGCACTCTGTCTCCTGCTAGGAATAATTGCTTGATTTCTTTTATTGTTCATAGCACTTCTTGAATTAGATTAATTTCTTTATATTCCATTTCTGTCTTTTCAAGACAGCAATTTCTTTGACTAAAAATATAACAAGGCATATGATACTCATCCACGTATAAAAAGTAAACCAAACCTCCTTTTATTTTGAAACCCATTGTTTTGGAAAATGTTCTTTCTAGTTGAGCGTTTAAGATCCCAAACCATTGGGTTTGCCCCATCACAAAGCACTTATTACAAGTTCACTGTGATCCGCACACAGCTGCATCTAATGCCAGAATAGAGGGTTGAAGTCAGTTCAGGTGGTGCCTGCGCAGATCTGAGAGAAATTCAGAGATTCTGAACAAAAGACAATGGCAACATTTCCATTACACTGGGGACTGAAGCACCTCTCAGGCTGAGACTGTAATGAACTCACCAGATGTACCAAACCATTTAAAATAGTGAGCTTCCCTGAGCTACCATGAGTGGTGCTTGCTTTCTTATGAGACAACAGGTCTATCAGCTGACACTGCAGTCAGTACCCTGTGGTTTTTCTCTGTGTTGCTTTGAAAGACAGCCTGTGGGGCACCTTGCAGTATCACACTGTGTGTGTGTGTGTGTGTGTGTGTGTGTGTGTGTGTGTGTGTGTGTGTGTGTGTGTGTGTTGATGTGTTCTGATCTAAAGTATAGTTCCCCTTTGTTCAAAACAGACTTTAAAGAAACTAACACATTAAACTCAGTATCTAACCTTGACAGTAAAAACAGTGAAGGAAAACAGGACCGTGATTAGTGAAATGAGGAGGAAGTATTTATTACTAGACACCTAGAATGAGCATAAATATAGTTCTGAGTTTCCTGGCAGGAAAGCAAGCTCCTGTGAAATTGTGTAATTATCTTTTCATGGTAAAAGAAACCAACAAAATTCATCTGGAAAGATAAACATTTTCCTGGCAGAAAATTCCAAGATGAACTTAATTCACAAGATCTTCTATTAGAGACACTAGATAACATAATGAAGAGTGTCTTCAACTGACACGGAAGTATTCAAGTGGACGTTTCAAACACTATAAAGGATGAAGATATAATATGAAAAAATAGGAGCCTGTGTGCTTGGCTTTCTGCCTTTACTACAGGGCCACCTTAGCCAACCTCACGGAGGGGTATGTTAAGGAGATCATTGGGTTGGTACATCCTTTTGGACCTTCTGGGTTACAGCGTGCTCACTGTTGCACTCTCTTCTTATCTGAAGCACATTCTGGTTGCTGAATAAGGAGGGATGCTAATCTGAAGGAGGTAGGCTTAGCATTCTGCTTTGTGATTTAGGGGCCCTAACTCCAGCAGGAGGGTTGAATCCACCTCTACGTGGAGCTGGGCTTTGGTGGAGAGGGGGGCTTGCAAGAAGGGCAAGATTTTAGAGGAGCTTTTAGTGTGCTCACACTTTTGATGCATACCAGGACCCCAGAGCATGAAAGAAACTATTTTGAATGAAATATTTTTAATGGAAAGGTTGCATTAAATGTCATGAGGGACCAGACAGGAAATAAGGGAGTCAGGCAGTGGGTGTTAAGTACACAGACCCGCTTGAGTCAAGGCTGGGACATGAGAGCAAATGCCCAGGCCCACAGGGCACCTCCATGTTGCCACGTGCAAAGGCCCAGGATTGCCAGAGTGGAAGCAATCCTGGGCTTTTCCAGGAGAGGCTAGAAATCTTGATTTTAAATGATGTTTAATGAATCAGAATATAGGCTCAGAAACTGTTTTTAAAAATCATTTTGCAGGTCAAACCCAATATATGTATAATCTGGTTTCGTATATGATTTTTGGGGGGGTTCATTAAATGGCATACTCAAGTAATTGATTTATGTGATTGTTTACATTTGTCTGGTCATGGTTTTTTTTCAGCTTTATTGAGATATAATTGACATATAACATGTGTAAGTTTAAGGTGTACAACTTGATGATTTGATACACTTATATATTGCAAAATGATCACTCACCCTGGCGTTATCTAACACCTCCATACCATCATGTGACTACCATTTCTTTTTTGTGGTAAGAACATCTAAGATCTACTGTCTTAGCAACTTTCAAGTATATTCATCTGATCATCTTTAAATAAGGAGGAGTAACACAAATATTAATATTCATTGAATTCTTATTATGTGCCATGCATTGTGCAGAGGGCTATATATGTACTAACTCATTTAATCTTCACAAAGCTCTTTGAGGCAGGAATTATCAGTATCATTCTCAATATTGTTACCAACATCATCATCGTCATCTCTGCTTCACAGACGTGGGTGCTCTTGAGGTAAAGGGACGTAAATAACTTGCGCCAGCTTCCACAGTAAGCAGTGGAGCCCAAATGCAAGGCAGGCAGTCTGACTCAGAGCAGTGTCCTCTGCCAGCCCAAAGCCCAGTGCTACCAGTATAACATTTTTTTCTCTGAGTGTTGAAAAACAGGCATTATTTTGGATCCCACAGCACCTCGCCTAATGACAGGAAAGAACAAAACCCAAGAAGCACTAAGGAACGTTCCCACACCCCCATCCCTGTCTCCCTTCCTCATTGTAATCACTCAGATATGAATTGTGAGAAGTGTCTTACTGAAGTTTACAGTATAGGTGTGGCAGGGCGGAGGTGGAGGGGCCCTGAATCACTCAGTGAGCTTGATGCTCCCGCCAAGACTCAAGGCTCACAGTTCGTCATCAAGAAACAGCAGATGGAAACAACCCTTCCTAGCATTGCCTTAGTTTAAGGGAACACATTTCCCCATTCTTTCCTAAACCAAGAGGGGAGACCAACCTCCCGTTTTAAGCAGACTGAATATTGCTTCGTGTGGTAGAGATATGGTCTTTAATAGTTTGTGTAGAAACAATACAGTATTTTGCTAATTTGCTAAGTATTCCAGTCTTTTCCGTAACTATTAATATCATTAAACGTGAGTGTAATTTTTTCTTAGTAAAGACGTTTTATCAAAGACCGCGTCTAAAATACAACATCCTTTTTTTTTTATTCATGGTTATTTCAATGATGGCTATTTGGCAAAGGCTCAGAATTATCCCTGTTAACTTGTTTTTAATAGCATTTGATTTATATGTGTGCTCAAACCTCCAATGCATGCGTGTATGTATGTGTACTAATTGTGGCCATATGCATTTAAACACAGTGTTATTGGTGGGAAATGAAGCATAAAATGTGAAAGATGTATAATTATTAAGGGATTGAAATTATAGTTTTTGACTCCTTCCAGAACGGGGATGTTATGATACAGCTTTGATTGGTTTTCATTTCAGATGAAGTTCCTGGATAGATGTGGTGATCAGTTTTTCACCTTCCTAATTAATTGTAAAATTCTTCCCTCTCATGGGCATAAATGAATTAACACATTGGTTTGCCCGTTAATATATGCTTTTCCTTCGGACTCATGCTGTCCTCCCAAGTAGGAGACAGGTGGACTCCTCAGAACAAGGTCAAAGCCCCTGAATGTATCAGTGAGAGAACTTTGGTTGCTTTTCCTCTTTTTCTAACCTAAATTTTTAAGCAAAGAACATAATGGTTTCTAATAGCCATGACATAACTTTTTCAGCATTGAATGTACTTGCATCCATATGCGTAGCAGTTCTGTGCAATGCATACAATGAATGACTCTGAATTCTGTTTCAGACAATCCATGGTCACAAGGGACCAATCACTGCCGTGGCCTTTGCTCCTGATGGACGATATCTTGCCACCTACTCAAACACAGACAGCCACATTTCCTTCTGGCAGGTAAGTGAACATGCTGCAGGGTCTTGATGTGTGGTGCATGATCCACTTTTGCTGTGAAAGGCTCCCTTGTGCCCTCCCTCCCTTCTTTCAACAGATATCAAGTACTTATTGCTTGCTGGTTATGTGCCAGCTGCCAGCATGCAGGGGCTACTGAGAATACAATTAGCAACCTAGAAGGAGGGGGTCTGCTCTCACCCAGCTTTCAGTCTGAGGGAGACACAAGTAAATCAGCAAGTAACTACAATACAAGGGGAACCTGGGAGTAAGGCTGTTGGCCGGCTTCACAGAGGCAGTGACACCGGAGCTGAGACATGGTGACATCAAGGAAGGGCCAGGCATTCAGGGTAGGGAGGGGTAGGTGTTTGGAGAGAGGTAGGCGTCATTCAGATGTAATTGAGGGCCTGACCCGAAAGGAATTGGGGCAAGGAGCACTGCTCAGGCTGTTAATTTACAGAGGCATCCAGACAACGCCAACAGGGCATAGGGGAGAGGGTAGCCTCGTATTAACTTCATGCCCTATTTGTATTATCTCATTTTCGTTGGCTTTCTGAATTTCCACATAATGCTCTTCATTTCCAAGCTATTAAAACATTTTCAAAAATCTGAGTATCACTGACTGGCAGTACATGAGAACAGCTCTGTTCGATTATGATTACAGTGAATATTAATTTGAGCAACTGAGTTTTATAATAGAACTTGTTTCATCCTCAGTGATTAACCTCCATACCATCTTCTTTTTTTTTTTTTTTTTTTTGCGGTACGCGGGCCTCTCACCGCTGCGGCCTCTCCCGCTGCGGAGCACAGGCTCCGGACGCGCAGGCTCTCAGCGGCCATGGCTCACGGGCCCAGCCGCTCCGCGGCATGTGAGATCTTCCCGGACCGGGGCACGAACCCGTGTCCCCTGCATTGGCAGGCAGACCCTCAACCACTGTGCCACCAGGGAAGCCCCCCATCTTCTTTCTAATTACCTTACTTCTGATAATTACAAAAAAGTTAAACATTACCAACCCCCCCCCCCGCAAGTTAATATAAAATTCTGTTACCTATCCTAGGACGCAAGTATGTTTTATGAGATTCCGTTTATTGCTTTGAAAGCTAAAAAAGCAAATAAAAGTTTAAACAAGACTTCACAATGTGACGATGATTTTTAAAAACTCAATAGCTATTGTAATGTAAAACAGATACAATAAATTGCTTAATTAACTACATGCTATTGAAGCATGACAACTTCCAGATCTGTCCTAGGTTTTTCTACTTTTCCTCAAATTAGTTTTCCAGTCTGTTTTCTTATTATCCTTTCTTCCAGAATATATCTCCAGCATCTTAATTGGCTCATATTAAACCTTTCCTTAGAGATGTCACCGAGTCTTCACTTTTCCTAGTGGGTCACCCCAGGACTCGTATTTTATCCTACTGAAATCCCACAGCAAGTCCATAAACAACTCTTGCAACATTCGTCCTGTAGATAGTGTCTCTACCAACTGTTCTTTTCTGCCAACGCAGTGGTGTCTGTGACACCAACTGTACTTTGATACACATTTTCCTGAATTTCCTGTTCTCTTGAAATCCCAGAGGAGTGTGCGTGTGAAACTCCCTTCATTTGGCATGTATCCGGTGTGGAAGCGCTGGGTGCCAGCCTAGCTTTAGGGACATGGAACCAAGCAGTCTCGGGTCCCTGCTTTCCAGCAGCTTGTGTTCGCCGCATGCTTTATTCTTGGGAGTAAACAAAACCAGATCTCTTCTTTTTTGTTGTTCAATTTTTCTTCCTGCTAAGAAAATATACTTCCTTATATAAAGGGATACCTTCTAAATTGGCCAGATGTGAAACTTTCCCCAGTATTTTCCTGAATGTCTAAGTGGTAAACCTTTTCCCCCTTACCTAGGTCTTCAGAGTCCTATTTGGATATGTTCGTCCCTTCCTTGAATCTTTTTCTATGTTTATCAGAGTTGCTCCCCGGCTCATTGATGGAATTATTGTTAGCATCTTCCTCACCCTGGAGATCAAGATCGTTCCTTAGATGCTGTCTTTTTGAAACACCTTTTTCTGTCCTCCAGGCTCCTGCTGTTGCCTCTGGGCTTCACCAAGTGCACTTAACCCTGCACATCTGTCCACGCGGCTCTGCCCAGCTCCTTTCCTTTGTCTGCACTCTTTTCTCCAGGGGCACTTTGTGTTACTTGCAGGGGTGGGTGTTCAGCAGACAGAGCACCCAAGCAACTCAGGCAACACCCAGGTCTTTCTTGCCTCTAAACCCAATGTCAGAATTTAAAATGTGGCCCATTTTCTTCCCTGCTTAAATTATACCCAGCTTGGTCTTAAAATTTAAGTGGAAGACACAGAAATATCATTTCAACTTTCTCAAGAAAATACAATAAAACCTCTTCCAGAAGTATAGTGGGTTTTTATTTGAATTAAAGGGAGTCCAAAAAGCAGTGTTAGATCTACTGTGGCTCTCCCCAAGTGGGCTTGGCTGATTTATTTATATACATATTGTTTAGGTCTAATGATGTATGATAATACTTTTATATGATTCCAGTAAATGTACTGCAATATATTTTGAAAACTTAATGAAGCCTTATTAATATAGAGCCTTACAAAAGCCATCAGCTATTAAAATCTTTGCTGAGAAATGAGTGTTAATGAGAATTACTGGTTGGATAATTACTCAAGTGAGACTTAGTAAAAGGTTTGGGTGCAACATTACTTACACTGAGAATAGCATTAAAACATTTCCTGTTTTGATGAATTACATCTGTATGTATGTCTGTGTGTTCAGAAAATAATCTTCTCAGAACTGGTCTTGTGAAGCATTATTTTTAAAGGGAAGGAAAAAGCCATGGTTGCCGTTAGTTCATTTACATACTCAACTGCTAAATGATGTAATTTGGCAATCTTTCAAGCCCTTTGATTCTCCAACAACATATTCCTACTATTTGAATATTTCACTTCAGTGTATCCATTGGTATTTGAGCCCGGAGAGTTTAGTAATGAAATACAACCATCATTCTCTCACCTGAATTTTACCACCACCCTCCAACAATTAAGTATCCTCTTCCAGGAATGCTAATAATAAATTAGATGGATATTGGTTTCATTTAATTTTCTTTATTCCATCATACAATAGAATACTATTCAGCCATTTTAAAAGGATGATGTAAATCTATAGTCATTAACATAAAAAGATTGCCCTCAACATTTTGTTGAATGAAAAAAGCAGATTGTGCAACTGCCTTCTAATATGAGCCTGTTTATGTAAAACTCCTTAAACCTGCTTCTCCTTATGTGGCTATAGGCTTGGAGATCTGGAAGGAGGTTTACCAAAAGGTTAGTGATTGTCTCTGGGAAATGATATTTCAGGGGATTTTTGCTTTCTTTTTTATACTTCTCTTTATTATTTGAATTTTCCACGATGAGTATTTATTATCTTGGTAGTGAAGAAAAAAGCTAATGTGACCAAATATTATAATTCCATGTAGTTTTCATTCATGCAGGACTCAGATTGCCTTTACTTTAGCATAATTTGTAGCCAGTCTCTGATCAAATATTAATATTGAATAACAAAATGGCTAGTTGTTTTGGTGAGAGCTCTTCGATGGAGCTTTACTGGAAAAATCAATACCCACCCTTACTTCAGATTCATCTCTTATTTGAAGAGATCATAGGAAAAGGATGGTCTGAGGAACAACAAATTATACTTAGCATGAGAGCCTTTGTCTTTCCATCTGTTTTCTACCATAATCGTTATGTACTGTGTAGAATTTCACATAGCCCTGTTCTGAGGCAGGAAGGCTCTTTGACCCTAACAAAGCATTTGTCAGTCATTTGAAGGATGATTCAACTTGCAAGGAGAGCCCAGATATAATAATGGACTTTTTTGGGAACTCTTTCCACCTGTCACATTCCAATAAGATGTTCTCTCCCTGCCCACTTTAGCCTTCAGCCCACTTCTTGTACGTGGCTAAATTTGAAGGAAGGAATTAAAAATAAGGATGTGTCTGAGCCTATCGGATGCCCCTAGCTTTTTGAGCCACGAGCAGAAATCAAGTTTCATACACATTTTCATAGAAAATCCATAAAGAATGAAAAATACTTCGTAGTTATTTATCAACTGAGAAATTAGATTTTTTAAAAGCACAGTATGCCTGTTGATGCCGGTTCATTTTAACCGGCAATTTTCTGCATCATTTGGATCTGCTCTGTAAGAGGACTAAATAATGATGTACTGTTACTCTTTGTACAAGTGAGAACTAGCAAATCAAGCTCACCATCATTATTTATATTTAAGCTATTTGGGAACCTCCAGAAAGCAATAAGGCCCTGATTTTTATCTTTTATGGAGTTTTTGGAAAAAGGAGGGAAGGACGCAAGGAAAGAGGTTCTTAGAGGATGACGGTAAGGTACTGCCTGGCTTTACATGTTAACTGCACTTTAACAGAAAGAGTTAATGATAATCATACATTTGGTTTTAAAATGTGACCTCGTACACTAGTGATTTTTTTTCACCTCTGTGTGTTCGGCACTATTATTAATGCAGGAAAATCAGTAACATTAGTCATCTTAAAAGGGTTATTACTCAAGATGATTTAAATTGTGAAAATGTCAGTGGAGCCTGCACGTGTCCTGCCAGAGATGCCATGATTTACACCCCCTGACACCATCCTGCTTCTGAGAAGGGCCAGGAAAGGAATGGCTTAAATATTTTGCACTGATCCAAATGCAGAGCATGATATCAGCAATAACACACCTTAAATGTCCTAGGACGTGCCAAGGTTTCCTGTGTCAACCGTGTGTACACATTGGAGCATAATCTGCATGCTTCACGGAAGTCCCGTAGAATCATGTACATTCAGGTGGAGGTACTGCTGGAGAGAAGAATTGGACATGAAAATTAGTGCAAAGAAAAATATTATTTCCAAGCCCTCTTTCCTGATGGTCAGTGTGCTTGCCGTGTGATTTGTAATAGCACAAAAGATGAATATTGGAAAAATGTTAAGTAATATTTAGAATCTAAAGGATTCTTCAGACTCAGTCGCTCAGATGACAGTTCACTTAGATAACGGCCATTCAGCATTTAGCACTTCGACATGAATGCATAGTTGTTCATGAGCCATAATTTCCATGTTATTTTCCATTTACGTGAACGAATTAAGAGAACTTAAGACTCAAGTCAAAGCCAGAAAGGCTGCCCAAAAAGCAGAAATCACCAGCTGATTAAAACATCCTGCCAATAAAGTGTTAAGAGTGTGCTCTCTTTAGCGTGGCAGCAAAACAGTGGGCCACACACGCAGTGTTGAGAGGCGGTTGATTCTTGTTTTTTCCTTCAGAATAAACTAGCGCTTTCCAGAGATCGGATTTTTTAAGAAGCAGGTGAGGAGGGAAGGTGCGGTAGGTGGACAGGAGAAAGGGGGGTAAGTTTTGAGCTTTGATCTGGTCACCTGTTACTCTGTCTATTGCTTAACTTTGCTTCACTTTCTCAAACTAATTCTAAGTCCCCAGACTTGTCTTTGGGGGCTCATTCTTCAGGGGATGCAGTGAGCACTATTACTGAGGAACAGAGAAGTCTGCCCTTTGAAATACCCACTGTTTCCAGATATTGTCTGATTGGACCGTTTTATTAAAATGTGTCATTTAGCCGCCTTCTTAAAGATGGATGGGCTTTCCTGCTGTCCAGTTCTACCCACGAGGTAAAATTTCTGCGGGTTTATGCATTTGCCGTAACAGCATCAGAACAATTTCAAATACACTGAAAGGAGCCCTTTAGAGGTTAACAATAGACTCTTAGATGACCGTGAAGCCTCATGATGGAGGAGAAAGTGACCGCAAGGGTGTGTCCCTCGAACCCCTCTCTGTGGCGGGGAGAGGGAAGCGGTTCCTGCAGTGACACGTGTGCTCTCCTGTCCCCGTGTCCCTCCAGATGAACACCTCCCTGTTGGGGAGCATCGGCATGCTGAACTCGGCGCCCCAGCTGCGCTGTATTAAGACCTACCAGGTGCCCCCCGTGCAGCCGGCGTCCCCCGGCTCCCACAATGCCCTCAGGCTGGCCCGGCTCATCTGGACCTCCAACCGCAACGTCATCCTCATGGCCCACGACGGCAAGGAGCACCGCTTCATGGTCTAGGGCTCGTGTCTGCATCCCCGTTCTCCCAGGTCTCCAAGCCCAGAGTCCCGTCCTTCCTCAGTGCCCAGCCCCGCCGGGGTCACGGGGGGCACAGCCGGGTCTGTGTCCCTCCGCATGGTCCCCGGGAGCAGACTCCTGCTCGTGCCACCTATTGACTGAGGCATGCACACATCGCTCCGCAGGAAGTGGCCGTCCGGTCCCCAGGTGGTTTCTCACCGCCGCAGAGGGAGGGGCAGCCAGCAGTCCCCTTGCTCGGTGCACCAGAAGCCCGGAAATCAATAACCACTGTGATTGCACTGCCAGCCCAGATCAGCAGTTTCCTCACGCTAAACCCCACCTCCGAATGCTGTTGGCAGCTGGTTGTTCTGACACTGGGTTTTGAGGTCGTGTGGCAGTCCTAATTATTGATATTATTTTCCTTTGGATTTCCTAAAACGTGCTATTGTTTACCAGAAAGATTCTGTGTTTACCTGGGTTTTTTTCCTCCGGGAGATTGCTAGGCAATTACTCAATCCAATTTCCTAGGGTTTAGCCACTACCTTCTTTATTAACATCTAACCGATTGGAGATTAATGAGAAAATACACACACACACACACACACACACACACACACACACAAATTTTCCTTGTGGAGACTACAGTTTCCCAGACACCTAGCCTTCTTAAATGCTCATATCCCGCTTAAGGGATACTGTATTTAGTAGCTCAAAATCAAAATGATCACTACTTATGATCTAGTTAATATAATTATCCAGTCACTATAATCTCTTAAATGGACTTTTGTAATAAAGAACCAAGTTTGAAAGTATAGCGTATACCTGAAAAGAAGATTCTTTGGCTACAGATCTTTTTAAGAAAGAGCTTACCCCTTCCTTCCAGAAACTTCACAGACCTGCAGTTCCCATAAGTCAGCCATCATGTAATAGTTACAATTCAGCCTTCAAACTACTACTGATCAGTTAAAGGAAAGCTAAGACAGCATTTCTTTGAAACAAGTATCCTAGAAAGTTATTAACTACGGCACAAGCATTCAGGAGCATGCAGTCATCCTCAGTATCCGCGGAGGATTGGTTCCGGGACCCCCGAGGGTACCAAAATTCACGTATACTCAAGTCCCTGATATAAAATGGCAGAGTACACGGAGGGCTGACTGTGTATACAACTGTGGAGGCTCTCAACCTTTCCGAATCTACCCGAACATTGCAGTAGGGTGTTCGTCACACTTCCAAGTAAGCTTTAACTTGGTCATTTTCTTCTCCTTATGTCAGATTATGCTGGTTCTTCCTCACAGTAATGGAACAAAAATCTGTAAAATAATATTTTGGATGGCTCACTCCTAATAAACCTTGCTCTGTATATAGTTGGAGATTTGGTTGTTGGTTGGTTGTTGATTGGTTGGTTAATTGGGCAAAATGGTTTATTAAATACAAAAATAGAAAATGATTTATTAAATTCAGAAAAAATACGTGAAGTTTACAAAGCAACCAAAATGATAACGGGAGTGTCTAATTTTAAAAGCATAGATTGTCAGAGTTTATATAATATACAGAAAAAGTAGGATCATAGTCCAGGAACAAATACATCTGTTATTTTATTGAAACCGATTTCTAAAGAACATGTTAGGAAATTAAGACCACTAGAACACCTCTTTCATATCGACATGAAGTTTGTCATTTCTAGTGATGGCAAACCCATCCTATACCTTGGTTTTCGACTTTAGGTATTCTTAAAAAGTGAATTTATGCCATATGCATGTATATTGTATTTATAAAGATTATATATGTAGCTTCCCAGGAAGAAACTCAGAACTATACAGCGTAGACTTGCTTTGTTTGGTGAACATGCTGTTGTGCCCGATATAGATAGAGAAGCCTGAGGAGAACAAGAGGTGCTCTCGGTTTTTCCAGTGGTTTCCCGAGTCTTCAGTGCGAGTACCTAGCACGTGTTCACTTTATGAACTGAAATGGGGATTAATTTATTCTAGACTACAAAGCTGCTTTGGAATGATGAAGTGTAAAAGTATACCTTAGAGATTTTTTTTTTTAAACAGAATGTTCAGGGCATCCGGAGGAAGGTGTGAGGCTGTGGGCAGGCCACCCCAAAGCATGGACGGCACACCCCATGGAGGGTTAGAACAAAGCTGTGAGGGCCCTAGGAGCCAAATACCCGGGCAGTGGGCCTCGGCCAGCTTGCCACACAGCCTGGCTGCAGACAGCCAAAACTGTTGGCCCCTAGAACATCACAATTGTAAAACTCTGGGGTGGATGGTATCTGATGGTGAGACAGACACCTCTAACTGCTAAACCAACATCTGCATTCTTGTTCCCACCAATCTCTCCTTGGCTGTTTTGACAACCACAGTTGCAGACTTCATCACAGCTCAGATTTTCTCAGCACTGAGGTAAACTTTACCTTGTCATCCCAGTGTACGCTTTTGGTGTCTTATTGATCTTGTTGGCACTGTATTTGGACCTGTCCTTGTAAACGTAGAGACATATGTGGCTTCATTGGTAATTTACAAGTGAAAGATGGTGTGATACCTGTATGAAAATGTAATGATTGAACTCACTGTGTACAGCACGTGACATAAGATGTCTGCCTCTCAAGGCATTTCTTGATGACTCCACTTAACAGATTCTATATGTGCTGAATGTCCCTGTGTACTTACGTGTGTTAAATAAAACTGAATTGTACTGAAGATTGTTTTTCTCATTAAAAACCTTGTTCACTCTTAAACGTTCTCAGTTGAGATCCATATGCTTTCTCCCAATTTTGGTACCAAATTAAGCCTTCCATTTCTGTCTGATTATTCATTTCCCTGGAGAGCTAGCTTCAGGACAGGCAAACTTGTCCACAAAGGAGAGCAGAGCAGTAAAGGAGTCTCTCTCCCAGCTGTGGAAGTGAGAACCACACTCCTACCAAGACCCAACAGCGCCCTCTGTGGTTTGGGCAAGGGAATTGCGTGCCTGTTGCTTTTATCTCCACCTTAAATTGCTTCTAAATAGACTGTTAATCGTACCAAATTTTATCTTGTCAGATTTGATGACACGGCTTGGCTGCCCTGGGGTGGGGGGCTGGGCTGAGATCATTAAATTAATTTCATTTAATACTCCGTTTGGAGTTGAATTTGAATCCCTGAGGAAAAGGGTATAATTGGTTTTCAGAAAAAGCAAGAGTAACAAAATAGGTCATCATCGCTCACAGAGGGTTAGTCATGTAAGTGGTGAATGTAGTTTTCTTTAATTTTCAGATAAGAATTAAATTGAGTCAATCATCATGTAACAATACAGTTTCCTTTAAGAAATAGACAAGCATTAAAGGAGTTGACTACAACATCACTGGCCCTATTCAAAGGCCTACTGTCCATCCCAGGAAGTGTTTTAACATCTCCTGATATCTTGAATGTATCCTTATAGGGAAAACAGGGGCAGTAACTGTTCTTTATGATTGGTGATCACATAAACTGATCAAATGTGGAAAGGGCATGACATTAATAGGAAGGTAAAGCCAAGCAGTGCTGGGTGAACTTTCACCTTTCACCCCTTTGGCTGACTGACAGAGCTGAGTGTTGGAGAAAATCAATACTCTGGAGCCAGGAGGGAAATATTTCTAACCTCTAACTAGAGAATGCATTTTGACAAGGCCAAGATAATCCAAGCTGCACAGGAGAAAGAGAAAAGAAGACTCATTTTTAAAGCTTGACACTTCAAGGTGTTTTTGTACAATGGTTTAGAGATCGTCAATACATACAAATACCAAAGGTCAAAAAGAAAAGCCAGAAGAATTTCAAAAATTAGATGTTCAGTTCTTTCTGCTGTTTACAAACTAAAAAAGACTACAGAGAGGTTCGTGCTTGGAACCGTTTAAATGAACAGCGCTCACAGTTGTGTGCTGTAATGTTATAGTCCGCCTTTAACCAAATCTTGAATTTTATAGAGGCAGCAGTGTGAAATGTTGAATGCCTAAAAAGTTGTTAAGATTTCTGGGTTTTGTACATTTTTTCTTGGACGTGGATTGTTTCTGGAGTGGTTACATCGTCTTATGGTAACATCTCAGAATCTTGCTTTTTTTTTTTTTTTTTTTTTTTTTTGGGGTCCCGGGGGCCTCTCACTGTTGTGGCCTCTCCCGTTGCGGAGCACAGGCTCCGGACGCGCAGGCTCAGCGGCCATGGCTCACGGGCCCAGCCGCTCCGCGGCATGTGGGATCTTCCCGGACCGGGGCACGAACCCGCGTCCCCTGCATCGGCAGGCGGACTCTCAACCACTGCGCCACCAGGAAAGCCCAGAATCTTGCTTTTTGATGCCTGTTGCTGCTGCCCTGATGCCATGTAAATCTTAGCTCCTCCTTCACATTCCCTTCAGTCATTAACATAAGAAAAGAGTGCCTTTGGAACTTGAATTGTTTCTATTTTTCCAAATCCCTTTAAGCAAATTATTTATACAAGTATTCTAATTAGTGCTCTTCAAAGTGAGGCTTACGCATCTCTAGGAAGTAGGTAAGCAATTCACTCCACTCTTACCAGCAAGATTAGATCCATTTGTTCTGTGGACGGATACCTCCATCAAAGGGATATAGATTTGTTTCCTTCCTACAGATAAGAAAAGAAGTCGAATGGTGCCCATACCTTCCAGCCAAACGCAGAAAGACAAAGGAATCCTGAATACTTGAAGTATCTAAAGTAACACTCTGTTTCCTCAAGGACAAGCAACATCATGATTAAAATAACAGTGAAAATATACCCTTAATTTATATACCTTCTTTCTCATTAAAAAATATATATATATATATATTCTGAGTAGATCTGGTTGGAGACTTTTTGTTTTATTTGTTTCAAAAGGAGAGCACAGCCAGCCAAGACTCCTCAATATTCTGAGACTTCCCAGAGAAGACCAGGAATCCATCTCATGCCTGATTTGTAGTGAGTATCAAATATGTATTGCATTTGTTACATCCATAAGAGTATGCCTGTAAAATGCTTACAAGAGCAGCACATAGTAAGCACTCAAGAAATGTGAGCTACTATTTTTAGTAGACATTCAGAAGTCCTTATTGAGCATGGATAAATAAGGTTGTAAATTACATGTGTTCTTTGGGAAACACTGTTG